GTGAAAAACTTGGCTTAAAGCTCAATATTCAGAAAACTAAGTTCATGGCATCCGGTCCCATCACTTCATGGCAAATAGATGGGGAGACAGTGGAAACTGTGTGAGACTTTATTTTTCTGGGCTCCAAAATCACTGCAGATGGTGATTTCAGCCATGAAATTAAAAGACGCTTACTCTTTGGAAGGAAAGTTATGACCAACCTAGACAGCATATTAAAAAGCAGAGACATTACTTTGTCAACAAAGATCCATCTAGTCAAGGCTATGGTTTTTCCAGTGGTCATGTATGGATGTGAGAGTTGGACCATAAAGAAAGCTGAGTGCTGAAGAATTGATGCTTTTGAACTGTGGTGTTGGAAACAACCCTTGAGAGTCCCTTGGACTGCAAGGAGATCCAACCAGTCCATCCTAAAGGAGATCAGTCCTGGGTGTTCATTGGAAGGACTGATGTTGAAGCTGAAGCTCCAATACTTTGGCTACCTGATGCGAAGAGCTGACTCATTTGAAAAGACCCTGATGATGGGAAAGATTGAGGGCAGGAGGAGAAAGGGACGACAGAGGATGAGATGGTTGGATGGCATCACCGACTCAATGGACATGGGTTTGGGTGGACTCTGGGAGTTGGTCATGGACAGAGAGGCCTGGTGTGCTGCGGTTCATGGAGTCGCAAAGAGTTGGACAAGACTGCGTGACTGAACTGATACTGATGATATATATTGTTCAAGCGTCCTGGATCTTCTTGATGTTGCTTTCAGCAAGAAGTACATATTTTGGAAGATGCAGAAATCAAAGTTGGCAAAGCCACCAAAATCAAGCTTATAACTATTTTTGAAATGTGCACAGAATAAATATTAGGAAGAAATAAAGCTAAATATTAAAAGTGGCTTTATTTGGGTAGAGGAACTAGGAATAGTTTATTGTACTTTTTCCAATTTTTATCTTCTAGATTTTATAATAGAAAACTAAACATTAAGGAATAGTCCATTTAAACATTTATACCTAGTATATCAACTCTCAGCCCAGGTGGTACTAGTGGTAAAGAACCTGTCTGCCAAGGCAGGAGACACCCAGTTTGATACCTGGGTCAGAAAGATCCCCTGGAGGAGGGCATGTCAACCCACTCCAGTATTCTTGCCTGGAGAATCCCATAGACAGAGGAGCCTAGCAGGTCACAGTCCATAGCATTGCAAAGAGTAGAACAGAACTGAAGCAAATTAGCACACACAGCATCAACTGCATTCAGTTATATAAATTCGTTGTTCAGTTGCTCAGTTCATGCCCAACTCTTTGCAGTAAACTTCAGCATGCCAGGCTCCCTTGCCCATCACTATCTCCCAGAGTCTGCTCAAATTCATGTCCATTGAGTCAGTGATGTCATCCAACCATCTCATCCTTTGTCACCCCCTTCTCCTCCTGCCTTCAATATTTCCCAGCACCAGGGTCTTTCAAATGAGTCAGCTCTTTACATCAGGTGCCCAAGTATTGAAACTTCAGCTTCAGCATCAGTACTTCCAATGAATATTCAGGGTCAATTTCCTTTAGGATGGACTGGTTGGATCTCCTTGCAGTCCAAGCGACTCTCAAAGAGTCTTCTCCAGCACCACAGTTCAAAAGCATCAATTCTTTGGAGCTCAGCTTTTTTTATAGTCCAACTCTCACATCCATACATGACTACTAGAAAAACCATAGCTTTGACTATACAGACCTTTGTCAGCTTTTTAATACGTTGTATAGATTTGTCATAGCTTTTCTTCCAAGGAGCAAGTGTCTTTTAATTTCATGGCTGTAGTCACCATCTACAGTGATTTTGGAGCCCAAGAAAATAAAGTCTGTCACTGTTTCCACTGTTTCCTCATCTATTTGCCATGAAGTGATGGGGCCGGTTGCCATGATTTAAGTATTTGAATGCTGAGTTTTAAACCAGTTTTTTCACTCTCCTCTTTCACCGTCATCAAGAGGCTCTTTAGTTTGTCTTCACTTTCTGCCATAAAGATGGTGTCATAGGCATGTCTCAGGTTATTGATATTTCTCCCGGCAATCTTGTTTCCAGCTTGTGCTTCATCCAGTTTTGCATTTCGCATGATGTACTCTGCATTAAGCTAAATAAGCAAGGTGACAATATATAGTCTTGACATACTCCTTTCCCAATCTGGAACTAGTTCATTGTTTCATGTCCATTCTAACTGTTGATTCTTGACCTGCATACAGGTTTCTCAAGAGGTAGCTAAGGTGGTCTGGTACTCCCATCTCTTTAAGAGTTTTCAACAGTCTGTTGTGATCCACACAGTCAAAGGCTTTAGTGCAGTCAATGAAGCAGAAGTAGATGTTCTCCTGGAATTCCCTTGCTTTTTCTATGATCCAACAGATGTTTGCAATTTGATCTCTGGTTCCTCTGCCTTTTCTAAATCCAGCTTTTACGTCTGGAAGTTCTCAGTTCATGTACTATTTAAGCCTGGCTTAGAGAATTTTGAGCATGACCTTTCTAGCATGTAAAATGATGCAATTGTGTGGTAGTTTGAACATTCTTTGGCATTGTCCTTCTTTGGAATTGGAATGAAAACTCATCATTTCCAGTCTTGTGGCCACTGCTGAATTTCCAAATTTTCTGGCATATTGAGTGCAGCACTTTCACGGCATCATCTTTTAGGATTTGAAATAACTCAGCTGTAATTCCATCACCTCCACTAGCTTTGTTTGTAGTAACGCTTTCTATGGCCCACTTGACTTTACATTGTACAGTTCCTAACACTGCATAGGAGGCAGTGATCAAAACCATCCCCATGAAAAAGAATTGCAAAATGGTAAAATGATTGTCTGAAGAGGCCTGACAAATAGCTGAGAAAAGAAGAGAAGCAAAAAGCAAAGGAGAGAAGGAAAGATATACCCATCTGAACACAGAGTTCCAAAGAACAGCAAGGAGAAATAAGAAAGATTTGAGAAAATAGAATTGAAACATGTATATTACCATATGTAAAATAGACGACCAGTGCAAGCTCAATGCATGAAGCAGGGCACTCACAGCTGGTGCTCTGGGACAACCCAGAGGGATGAGGTGGGAGGGAGGTGGGAGGGGGGGTTCAAGAGAGGGGGACATATGTGCACCCATGGCTGATTCAGGTCAATGCATGGCAAAAACCACCACAATATTGTAAAGTAATTTTCCTCCAATTAAAATAAATTGTTAAAAAAGAAAGTCTTCTTAAGTGAACAATGCAAAGAAACAGAGGAAAACAACAGAATGGGAAAGACTATCAAGAAAATTACAGATACCAAGGGAACATCTCATGTAAAGATGGGCACAATAAAGGACAGAAATGGTACGGACCTAACAGAAGCAGAAGATATTAAGACGAGGTGGCAAGAATTATACAGAAGGACTGTACAAAAAGGTCTTACTGACCCAGACAACCACGATGGTGTGATCACTCACCTAGAGCCAGACATCCTGCAGTATATAAATACCAACACTACAATTAGCTTCATATCTTTTTAAAACAAAAATGTTCAACCAAATGCTTTTGCTTCTTATAAAATTCTACATTAAGGACATTTACTATATATGATGGGGTAAAGACCATATTAGGCTCATATAGAATTAGGTAAATATCAACATTTTATAAGCAAATTATCAAGATATTTATTGTTGTCACTTAATTATATAGAATTTGCTATCTTGATTAAAATAAGAATTTGCCTCAAAGACATTATTTAAACTTCATAGAAGCTGAATTCAAAAAGATGAGCCCAGCATTAGCCAATGGTGTATAGTTAACCATTATCTATAATGAAGAAATGTTTTCATTTATAACCAACAAATGATTAATTTCACAATTGAAGTACAAATAGAATCACAATTTTTAAATATGATATCCTTTCTGATTGTGAGCGTACAAAAATAGTGGCCAAGTAAAGGGTTGCATGTATTTTTGCTATCTTTCAATTAACCAATCCACTCCCTACCACTTCCACCTTTACTGCTTTCCGGTTATAGATAAGTCATAGAAGTTGATTCTTCCCCTGCTATTCACCTGTTTCATGAAACTGCTTCACAAAACTGTTTCACAAGTTAAATGTGTATATCCATATAAAATTAGAAAATAAAGTTCATAAAATGTGACCCTCTCTGCCAGCATATTTAGAATAACAGCTATCTGTCAGAAATAAAAACAAGAACTGCCTTAGACTTCACATTTTCCCCATTCACTTAAATGAGCAGCTCATTTTGTGATAATTTATCTTTCCAATAGTCTTACAAAAAATAATAATCCTAAAACATACTGCTCAGCAACATAAAAGTCATCATCACATACTGTATTAGCAGCATTGGGAAATATTTCAGACATGAGTAATCAAAATGTTCCAAAAACAATTCACTGTCCATGGGCCACCTTTCAACAATAAATGCTCAGGCTATTTTTACTTGGCAGGTTTAAATAGCCACTCATCCTCTTTCTAGGGTAAGAGGTAGCAACAATGGTCCAGTGTTGTAGGATCCAGGTAGACCAAGCCCCAGCCTTGGCTCTCAGCTGCCTCAGGAACAAGGAAAGGAAGTGACTTCACCTCTCCCTGTCTCTGGCTCCTCATCTGTAGTAAGTGATGACAAAATGCTTACTTCGTGTCATACAGATGAAGTCAGCAAAGCGTCTGGCACTATCAACAGAATTCAGTTGCTGTTATTCTATTATTAATTTTACATGTTGGTTATAACAGAAAATCTATGACAATTACTCCCAAAGGCAATGACAAGTACAGATGCTTTTCTGATGAGTCTTACCTTTGTGTTCCCATGCACTGCAGATGTAAGGTGTGAATGCCTCTTTGGGAGTGCCAAGAGATTGAGCAACTTGAGCATTTTCTTTTTGGGAAGAAACGTTAATGCTGAGACTGCATCTCTTTGAAGCAACTTTGATCTCATTCTGAAGGCTGGTGAACATTTATGATTCACAGCATATCAGGGATTTCCCGCTAGGTCTACTGTCCCTCCCACGCTGAGCAACTCACCTGAGTTATAGACGGTCTTTTCTCCTTCCCTTTTCTTGCAAGGGTGTCCAGGCCTTTTAATGAAGAAAACAACCCCTTCTTGTGTCTTCCCCGCTGGGTCAGTGAGAGAGTTCTTTTCCGAAGGGCAGAGTCATCTCTAGAACATACCTGATTTAAAACACAGTTTAGAAACATCATAAAGTGCATTATCTCCTAACAGGAATAAGCCCTGCTTGCTATAAATGTTAGTTGCTCAGCTGTGTCTGACTCTTTGTGACCCCATGGATTGTAGCCCACCAGGTTCTTCTGGCCATGGAATTGTCCAGGCAAGAATACTGGAGTGGGCTGCCATTTCCTCCTCCAGGGGATCTTACCAACCCAGAGATCGAACCCAGGTCTCCCTCACTGCAGGCAGATTCTCCACCATCTGAACCACCATGTGTTCTGACCAGTCCCCGAAGTTACTCCAAGTCTGACATACCAGAGGCCCATTCACCAGAGATCTCTTATCTAGATAACATAAGTCTAGCTACCACAGTCACATCTCTCCAGGGTGGGCAGTAGGGTTGGCAGAACAACCTTCGGACCCCCGGAACCAATACTATCCACGGAAGCCACCCACGCAGAAAGTCTCACAAAACCCAGTGGAACTCTCGGCAGAACAGATCAAAGCACCTTCAATCAACCCTTCGATTCTTCACACCATTGTCGCTATTCCTCAGGGATTCCACCTTCCTGACTGTACAAGGTGGAACAGACAGAAGGGCAGATGCAGATGGGAATATTTAGTAGCTGGGTACTTGCTTCCACGTTCAGTTCTGTCTGAATCTTTGTGACCCCATGGACTTTAGCCCTGGTTCCTCCGTCCATGGGATTTCCCAGGCAAGAATACTGGAGTGGGTTGCCATTTCCTTCTCCAGGGGATCTTCTCGACCCAGGGATCGAACCTGCATCTCCTGGGTCTCCAGTTTTACAGGCAGATTCTTAGCCATTGCACCACCTGGGAAGCTGGATTCCAAGAACGAGCAGCAGAGAAGCTGACACCAACCCTCCCTCCCCCAGCACCGGGTCCCTGGGTGGCCCTGGTCAGTTACTGGGTTAAGTCACAGCAGAGCCTAGTGTCAACCAGCTGGAGAGAAAGGTGAGCTTCCGCAGTGCTCCCTGCATGCCACTGAACCACGTTCCTTGGAAACTTACCAGAGCATGGAAAGAGGAAACTGACAAGATGCCCAGCCGGCCCAGGGCCAGCTTGGAGGGGCGGCTGGCAGCAGCAAGGAGGCTCTTGGGGTTCGGCAACTCCCCGCCCTGCAGGCTGGCCAGATAGCAGCGCATCCTGAACAGATCCATGTGAAACTTCTCCAGGTTCTGCTCCCATTGCTGGATCTGTTTAAGCAAGAATAGGATTAATTTAAATAAAAATGAGGCATTTTCACAGGTCAAATTGAAAATGTGGCCCGTTTCACAAACTTTAAGGAAAAAAAATCATTTTAGCTGGTGTTGCATGGCTCAAATGAGCCTTCCCTGCTTGCCCCATCTCAAGCCCTCCCACCAAAACCAATGGGGTCAGACAGCACTGTACTTCATCAGGATGGCCAAGACAAAGCCAAACCAGTGGTCCCAATATGGTGCCGTGGCATGACCTTTGGAGAACTCCACTGCTGAAAACCATGCTGGCTTAAGGCAGGATGCACAACTCTAAGTCAGTTACTTCACTTTGTTACATTTACATTCACAGCCTCTGACCTTAAACCAGATTAACTGAATTGCACACAAACAGATGCGGGATGAATGGAGGCAGTGATTGTACATTTCTGAACATTCTCAGAATGACTCACGAAACAAGAAAGAGCAGATGAACTTCAGGCATGACAGAGTTCTTACTCCTACTTTAAGTATACTGGGGAAGAATCACCATCTATACGTCTTTATTAAGACACTTATAGGGCTTCCCTGGAGGAGGAAATGGCAACCCACTCCAGTATTCTTGTCTGGAGAATCTCCATGGACAGAGGAGTCTGGCAAACTACAGTCCATGGGGTTGCAAAGAGTCAGACTCAAGTGAGCGATTAACACTTCACTTCGTAGTTGCTTGATGCTGTGTTAGTTTCTGGCGTACAACAAAGTGAATCACCCATGTATAAGCATATGTCATCTCTTTTTGGGATTTTCTTCCCAAGGAAACCACAGTTCCTAAAGATACATGCACCCTAATGTTCACTGCAGCACTGCTCACAATAGCCTAGACATGCTGCTGCTAAGTCGCTTCAGTCGTGTCTGACTCTGTGCGACCCCACAGATGGCAGCCCACCAGGCTCCCCCGTCCCTGGGATTCTCCAGGCAAGAACACTGGAGTGGGTTGCCATTTCCTTCTCGAGTGCGTGAAAGTGAAAAGTGAAAGTGAAGACGCTCAGTCGTGTCCGACTCTTAGCAACCCCATGGACTGCAGCCTACCAGGTTCCTCCGTCCATGGGATTTTCCAGGCAAGAGCACTGGAGTGGGGTGCCACTGCCTTAGAAGCAACTTAAATGTCCATCAACAGAGGCATGGATAAAGAAGTTGCAGTATATATACATACATAGTGGCATGTAACTGAGCCAAGGCCTTCCCTGGTGGCTCAGTCGGTAAAGAGGCTGCCTGCAATGCGGGAGACTCAGGTTCAATCCCTGGGTCAGGAAGATCTCCTGGAGGAGGAAATGGCAACCCACTCCAGTATTCTTGCCCGGAGAATCTCCATGGACAGAGGAACCTGGCGGGCTACAGTCCATGGGGTCGCAGAGAGTCAGACACGACTGAGTGACTATCATACAGGGCTTCCCTGGTGGCTCAGTGGTAAAGAATGTGCCTCCCAGTTCAGGAGACACAGGTTCGATCCCTGATCCGGAAAGATCCCCTATGCCTCAGAGCAACAAAAACCCATGTGCCACAACTATTGAGCCTGTGCTCTGGAGCCTGGGAATGACTACTAAAGCCTGCACACCCTGGAATCTGTGCTCTGCAACAAGAGAAGTCACTGCAATGAGAAGCTCATGCATCCCAACTAGAGAGTTGCCCTCACTATCCACAACTAGGAAAAAAAAAGCCCGTACATCAGTGAAGACTCAGCACAGCCAAAAACAAATTTAAAAAAAAATTTAAGACACATATAATTATTTACAATACAAAACTTTCTATGTATTCTTCAAGACTGAATTCATAAATTGGTAAAGAAATGCAAAATCTGGGGGCCACTCTCCCTTCTTCCAAGGATGTCAAAGTATATTATGTGTAAGCATTACCTTCATTTAAACATAAATGAATAGGCAAAGAAAGCCTCCAGGAAGTTGCCAACACAGAGATTCAGAACAGAACAAGAATTTGGGCTTCAAAGAGTGTTCAGAGCAATCTCAAAATTCAAGAGAAGGTCTGTGGTGAAGTCTTAACAACGATTTCCTATGAGAGCTGTGTCATTTCATTTGCAGCAACTGCATCTCCAGTTTTGCCAAGCTTTTGCACCCAAACAGATCCTAACCTTCCACAGGATACTTTCCAGGTCAATCCCTGATCCTAGATAAATGGTATTTTGACGGATCTCTGACAATTAACACTCTGTTTTCCTCCATCTCTCTCCAGAGAAAGGCAGAACAAATTCTGGGTGCTCTTTAGAGTCCAAGTTCTCTGTATCTATTTCTTAGGAAAACCACTGCACACTACAGGAAAGAAATACAATGGCTACAAGATCTAAACAAGTAATTTGTTGATTTATCATAGTTTGTCAGCAAAACAACAAAATCTCCCAGAGTGCACTGAAAAATCTCAATCTCTAATCTAACTTCACTGAAGACATTGCATGCCCTTGCTAGTGATGGAATAGCCCACCAACGTCAGCCTTGAGTCAATACCAGTATAACCTGATGGCTTTTAAAAATGAAAATGCCCAGGTTTTTACCTGATGAGACTACTCATTAGGTATGAGGCTCAGGAAAGCAGACATTTAATTTAAAAGCATCTCTAGCAATTCTGGTGTCCAGCCTGAGTGAGGACCACTGTTTCAGACTAACACGGCAGATCAAACTGAACAGCAAATCTCTCTGTAGTCTTACCATATTAGAGAATTCTAGATTCCAGCAGTAGTGGATGGGTATTATGTAACCACAAACTTCACCAACTAGAAACTATAATACCCAGCAAAAACTATACTCCCATTTCTGTCTCACAAATATCTTTACAAGCTAATACCTGAAAATCCGCAATTGCAGATGCCTTCTTTTGTCTTTTAATAACATGCAGGTATTTCTAGGTTGGGTAATGTATTCAAGCCTATCTCTCATTTATAATTCCATGTGAAACAGCTAATGAGATACTTTTTAGGGGTTCTGGAGAGAGTGGAGGTATGAAAGGAAAAGAAAACCAGTGAGTTACCGAGTACCAGAGAACACAGAAGTCCATAACATCCACAGAGGAACAAAAAGACAAAAGAGCAAATAAAATAAAACCCAGGTGGAGGCCAAACACTATAGATCACAGAAGATGACAATCTCATATTATCACTAACTTCTGCAGTTTACAAAGCTTTTTTTAAAAGGCATCATTGAATGTATTTAAATGACTACACATCAAAGCATCACTGGAAAGAAAAGACAGCTCCATCCTAAACAATACACAGGGAATCTTCAAATTCTGTCAGAAATATTTTGTAATCTTCAGCACACCAGACCTCTCTGCTCAAAACCCTGGGACAAAATGCAGGTGAGTTCATAGGAGGAATATGGATTTCTGATGCTTAGGTTTGTTGAAAGAAAGAAAGGAGCTGGGATAGCCCAAAGCAGATCCTACAAAGATCAAGAATTTTGTTAATATATGTGACTATGTTTCAAGAGAACTAGTATCTCAATCAATACTGCACATTATAGACAGCATTTTAAATCTGAACTTAGTAGAAAATGCAAATTAGAAGGGACTTTACTTCCATTTCAGTGATGTTTCCTGCCCTCACCCTTTGTAAAGGTTAATTCTATGCATCCACTTGACTGGGCCACAGGGTGCCCAGATGTGTGGTCAAGCACTAATCTGGGTATTTCTATGAGAGAGTTTAGGGATGAGTCTAATACTTAAGTGGATAGACTGAGTAAAGCAGACTGCCCTCCCTCATGTGGGTGGGCCTCATCCAATCAGTTGAAGGCCTGGCTAGGACAAAAGGTCTGACCCTCCCCAAGCAAGGGAGAATTCCTTCTCCATGATGGGCCTCCAAACTGGGATGTCAGCTTCTTTCCTGGCTTCTGATGACTAGAACTGAAATATTGGCTCATCCTGGGTCTCAGGCCCGCCAGGCTTCAGATGCGAACCGCACTGTCCACTCTCCTAGGTCTGCAGCTGGCTGACTCACCACCGATCTTGGGACCTGCCCATCTCCATACGCACAGGAGCCAATTCCTTATAATGACTCTCTTTATGAATATACTTTTTACACATCGTACTGGTCCTGTTTCTCTGGAGGACCCTGACTAATACCGCCTTCATTCCCAAAGCACTCTGTGGCAGAGTAAGCCATCATTAGTCACACATCTAGTGCATGTGCAAGGACAATATTTATCTTGTTTTAAAGGTCATGGTTCTTTATGGACAGAATCAGTCAGAGAGGTTAAATGAGGATCTGAGGTTGGATAAGTAACAATGATTTTTCTTTCCATAGACTCACTGCAGTTGTAGACAAGGACATGGGGGAATACGCAGGTAAAAGGCTGGTGAGGACATGGATTCAGGTGCTTGGGTTAACTGGAGAGAAGAGAGAAGTACAAACACCAGACCCACGAGCTCAATACGGACCTTGTAATACTGGGAGCGCCAGTGGACACAGGCAGTGAGGGTTACCAGGCCTTCGAATCTCAGCAGAGGACACTGAGGCTCAGGAGACAGATGACTTCACCAGGGTCACACCGTAAGCTGCCCTTGCAGGCTGGCCAAGGCCCAAAGCTGATCCTAACGGGAACAACACGTGGGGACAGGCTTCCATAGAGCACCTGGAACACAGCTGCTGAGCCCAGGTCTTCTTGCTCATAAGGCTGGTGTCATGCACTGTCTAGTAATTACTTTGCAACTTTCATTTAAATTTTCATCTGACCATCAACTATATTTCTCCCCACAAGTCCCCAGGTGTTCTATAGAGAAGCTGTAAGACTATCTACTCTCTCATTTGGGTGAACATCTTGCCTCTCAATTTCCTACCAGCCTTGATATTCAGGTTTGGTCCAAATTCAAAGTAACATTAACTAAAAGAAAAACATGTTTTTTATCCCTTTATCCCTCAAAAGATGAGATAAAGATACATTCTTTTTAAACGAAAGAGAGAAAGAGAAGACAGTTTTTTATCTATCATACATGCTACCTCAGAAAATTTCATCATCATT